TGTGTGAGTCTATTTCTGGACCCAGTAGATGGAACATCTACTCTGTGCCTTTGCTCTATTTGTGTATGTTTGCACCGGAAACACCTATCTCAAGTACTAAGCATGGCTTATGATAAACTTTGACATCCAAGATGCTTTTTGCTATTCTTGGTTCTTTTCATTCCCATTCAAACTTTAGAGTTAACTTGTTAATTTCTAAAAAAAAAATTCTTCATGGGATTTTGTTTGGGATTGCATTAAATCTAGTAGATAAATTTGGGAAGAATTGAAATCTTGCAGTACTGAGTCTTTTATTCCATGAACATTTTTTATTTCTTCATTTATTAAGATCGTCTTTAATTTTCTCAAAACGTTATTTGTTTTGTATAAGTTTTACATGTCTTGTGTTAGATTTATTCCTCAGTATTTCATATTTCTATGCATCATACATGGTTTTATTTAAAATTTTTTTCTGATGTTTTTATCACTGGTTTATAGAAGTTCAAATCATTTTTAATAGTGACTTCAGTGAAGTTGCTTCCTTATTTTAATATTTTATCTGTAGATTCTTTGGGGTTTTCCTCAAATACAGTCATGTCTCTGAAAATAATAATAGTATAATTTTTTTCTTTTTCAGTCATCATACCTTTGTTTTTTCCTGCCAGTATTTTTAATTCAAATTCATACTTCCTGGTCCCTTCCCATGAGTCTGTGGTATTCTGCCTAATTAGAAGAAATCAGTAGGAATACCCACTATGAATTTTCCATGGAAATGTTGGAGCATGTAAATAGTTTCCTTGGACTCAGGGATTTATAACTTCCATTTGTTTTTCTGTTTTATTCTTTTGGGGGGATGTACCCAAAATGTATCTATTGCTGAACCTACATTTTTAAATTAATTTTTATTGGAGTATAGTTGATTTACAATGCTGTGTTAGTTTCTGCTGTACAGCAAAGTGATTCAGTTATACGTATGCATATATCCACTCTTTTTTAGATTCTATTCCCATATATGAACCTACATTTTTAATTGTGTTACATATCTTCTGGTAACTTGCATTGAGGATTTATTACTGTGGAAAGTGGAAAATAAGCTGGAAAATTTTTCTAGGGTCCAGTGTTCATTGTACAGATTTGGGGGGATTCAGAGTTCCCCACTTTATTGTACTCTCTCCCAAAACCTGAAAGGTCAGTGAATTTGACTTCTAAACAGACCTCCAGCAATGAGACTCCCATTAGCGTTATTGACTGTTGTTTTCCTCCATCACTTTTTGAATAAAATTTCAGCCGTATGTTGTCATCAAAGGGAGTACCGTTTCCAATTAGAATTCAAGTTTCTAAATGGAAGCGTTTTTCAAATAGGTAACCAAAAATTTCAGGTAAAACTATAGATCCTTTAAAGATGTTTTAATAAAATCAAAACTGCAGATATGAAATATGGCGCTGAAAGGTATTTGGCTCATTGGTAATGTCCCCTGGAGGACTCTGAATGTTTAAAGCAACAGTTTGATTGAATAGAACAATAAATGCAGGGCTGAGTGTGCTTTTTCCCTTTCTTTCTCATCTACTAGAAAAATATAGATAATAGAGCTCATTTATTTCCTTAACATTTCAGAGCTCCACAGATGGGAAAACACAACCCAGTGGAAATTATTTCTGGCAACCTTGAGAAGATATGTTAGCATTTTGTGGCATTTCTTTCAGTGACATGTAAAGCCTGGCTTTCCCTCATTGCAGTGTCACAGTGAAGTGTCACAATAAAGCCAAAATAGCGTGCCCTCAGGGAAAACGCGGGAAAGGGACCATTTTCCATGCACACACAAAGGGTAATATTTATTATAAAGCCTTCCATTTTAGCTCCAAATGCTGCCTGGGCCATAGCTACTTTGCAGTGGAGAAACGCACAGAAAGGGAGATTTCAAGCAAATGTTATGTATAAATCTAATGTGATTTATGTGAATACAAATACCGTGTTTAAAAGTAGAATGCTTTTATGGACACACAAGCTTGGAGAGTCTGTGCAGGTGACGCTCAGCCTGGTTTTGGTGGAGTCCAAGGTGCAGAGAGTCAGAACCAGGAGTCCGAACAGCCCTGTCTTGACCTATTTTTCTCACTCGCAGCACAGATGTCACCTTCTTTACCTACGACATGTGCTAACATGGGAATTATTATCCCCCTTTGTTGGCTAAGGAATTTAGTGTTCCAAAAGATTCAATTATTCATTACAGATGACACAGCCAATATTATTTAGGGAACTTCATACACAGTGTCAAATACAATAATTTATTTGAAGCTAAATTTGTTTTTTTGTTTCTTTTTTTTCATTTTTTTCCACAGCAGATTCTTATTAATCATCTATTTTATACATATTAGTGTATATATGTACTTTCGATAAAACCTCAACGTCCTTTTCGTCCTTCCTTCCACAAGTTATTATTTGGACCCAAATACTGAATTTGATTTTTATTATCATTAATGTCTTCTCGTCACGTTCGTTCTACTGCTCCCAACTGTGGACATGTTGGGGGGCAGGGCGGTGTCTTCGCCACGTTTTGCAGCATTTTTCTTTGCTGCAGCTCAGCACCATCTCCCGATCTAATGAGTGTCCCGAATCATCGGGAACCGCCCTGTGGTAGGCAGGTTCCTCCAGCTGGAGCGGTGGCTGGTTTATTCGGGTCCGACTCCACCCGGCTGTCAAAGGCAGATGGAAATTACCCAGGTTCCTTGTTCTGATTTGGCAACACGTAGGAGAGCATGAGCTTTGGGGACCAGCAGACCAGACTCAAATATCAGCCCCACCAGTTACGGGTCACGTGATTTGGGGAATTTTCCTTGTCTTTCTATGTAAACTTCGATAATAATATTAACAAGACGATATCTCTAAGGATCTTACCGGAAGTACACAGTCAGCCTCATCCATCACCCCAGCCACCAAAGGAAGGAATGGCGTTTGTCTGACCGACCAAGCCCACCAGCCCAGGTCTCTTTGATCAGTGTTTCCTGGTGCTGACGAAGCTTTGTTCGAATAAACTTTCTCAGCCCTTTTCCCAGTGCCCATGCTATGCTAACATGAGTGTTTAGAATCCACTTTCTTTCCCTGCTTTAATAGCTGAATGTCATTTGCCACGAGCCTCTCCTTTTCTATAAATCTTCTTGGTTCGGGATAATGGTTAGTGGCCTCACTTGTGTATCTTCTGAGCATCCTGGATGGAAACGCACTTGATTTAGAAGACTTTGGTTTAGGGGCCTTGAACTCTCTGCACATTCCTGGGAACTTTGCCCTCCTGCCCCTCCCCCTTCAGAGGTCTTCCCCCGGACAGAGTAGGCTCCTGCACAGGGGGGTCTGCTTCTCTGCACTTTGCTCCCCTGACACGGGACACGCGTGTTGTAGACTGTTCTCTTTGACAGGCCAGGCTCAGGCCGTGCAGGCCTGCACTTTCCAGTGTCCTCACAAAGGCATGTGCTCTCCTGCCCACCTGCTGAGATGCTCTTCCGCTCCATCGTCTGTGCGTGGTCACTTTATTATTTTTTTTTAAAGACTTTTTTGATGTGGACCATTTTTCAAAGTCTTTATTGAATTTGTTACAGTATTGCTTCTGTTTTATGTTTTGGTTTTTTGGCCGCGAGGCATGTGGGATCTTAGCTCCCCGACCAGGGATCGAACCCACACCCCCTGCATTGGAAGGCGAAGTCTTAACCACTCACCAGGGAAGTCTCCGTGGTCACTTTAAATTTGGGCTCATCAGAGAAATTTTGCCAAAGCACATTAGTTTATTTAGGAAACTCACTGTTCTCTTCTTTATTGGGATAATCTTCAGTTCTCAATGTTTAATCTTTTGTGAGAGATTTCTAACCCTCTTGGATTATCTCTCCTTCCAGAATCTCTTTCTTTCCCAGAAGGAAGAGTGCTTTTTTTTTCTTCTGAAGTTTTAAAACCTACTCCTCCAAATTCAAGAATTCATGTGTGATGCTAATTAAATAATTTTCACGAATGGGCCACCACTGGTGTTTCTCTGCATTGATGCTTCAAAACAATTTAAGGCCTTGTCTTAGTAATAATGCTGAATATTCAGTCTTCTTTTAGCGATGGAGTAATATCTCGTTACTCTGAGTCCAGATACTCTGCTCTGGATCTTTTTAAGTTTGCATTTTTCTTCAAAGAGTGTTTAATAAATATATGTCAGAGACTCACTGTTGGCTAAACCCTCTGGTCTTCTGGGTCTTGCCAAGAGAATGTTTGTCTTAACTTCAGCACATAGAGTAAGCTGCGTTAATGCCAAGTGAGCTATGTGTAGGAAATCTGTTTTGAAAGGGCCAGCCTCAGGAGGACTTCCAAATAAAACTGTACGAGAACAGGAGTAAGGATAAACTGTGGTCCATTTTTGTGAAATCCAATCTTATTTCTCCTCCTTTTATTTGTTTGTTCTATGTGCCAAATGGGTAAGAACCAAACGGCAGAGTGCCACGAGCATCTTTCCACTTTTTTCTGGGACTGGAGATGGGCAGATCAGATGTTCACAGCTTGTCCCCCCCTTAATGCCCTGTCTTTCAAGTCAGAGCCCGGGATATGGCATCTCAAGGTTGACATGCAACTGTGGCGGAGATAAGCAGTTTCAGTAGCAAACAACTATCCGAAAAGCCTTGTGATTTATCCATACTGGACACGTTTTCTTGTAGCTGGTGGTATATTTTTCACATTAGCTCTTTCTTGGGATTAACAAACCAGTGCAAATCTTGTTTCATCCCTCCCTGGGTATTTAGTGTAGTGCCAGGCAAAGTACAGATTAACGTATGCTTACTCAGGATTAAGGATGATTTTTTTTTTTTTTAGCTCTTCTGATCGGCAGTAAAGTAGAATCTACACAGTTCAGTGAATTCAACGGATGGGCTGTTTTCGTTAATGGCGACAACTAACCCCAAACCTTGGGTCCCAGGTTTCTCTGGTCGTGCTTGGTGATGGTCGAAGGGCAGACAGCCGTGAACTCTTTCATCATGTTCTTAACCCGTCTCCGTTACTGCAGTGCTGCGCATGACTGCTGCACGGCCAAGAAGAGGAGAGCCGGGGAGCAGGCTCTGGGGGTGCCGGTCAACAAGAGAAAGTCCCTGCTCATGAAGCCCCGACACTACAGCCCCAGCGCGGACCGCGAGGAGGGACAGGCTGAGCGGACGGCAGAGGCGTTGGGGCAGGACGGCGCCCCGGAGACCCACCATCACCCCGGCGCAGGTAGCGAGGTGGAGTGGCCCCAGCTTGAGTTCCTGCCTGCGCACAGACCCAGGCCCACCTCAGGGGGACGTGCCGTTTGTATGGTGGGAAAAGCAAATCCCAACGTGAGGGCAAAACCAGACATTGGTTTCCCTCAGCATCCACTAGTGAGGACCGGTTTTCCTTCCATAACAGTGGGGGGTCTAAGCACAAGCCACAGAGCACAGAGCATCCTTGGCCCCAGGCACGGGTTTGGACTGTGCCTCTTTCCGAAGAAAATAAAAGCGACTAAGCCCCAAAGTTGAAGAGGACCTTAACTCCCTAATGGGGTGGATATCTAGTCCCTGAAAGATAAAACCCCTGCAAACTAAGCTTTGAGACATTTCCGATAGGACGTATGAGACGCAGTCTCTATTTTGAAATTTTATTTTGTTAATTTTTTATTGAAGTACGGTTGATTTACAATATTATATTTGTTTCAGGTGTACAGCACAGTGATTCAGTATTTTTACAGATACACCATTAAAAGTTATGACACGATAATGGGTATAATTCCCCGTGCTGTACAGTATATCCTTGTTGCTTATCTGTTTTGCACGTAGTAGTTTGTGTCTCTTAACCCCCTGCCCCTAATTTTTTTTTGAAATTTTAGGATGTGCTTCTCTGCAGTTCGCGGTCACCCCCACTAGACCCTGGTTGTCCCAGTGCCTCCAGGACCTGGACCATCACAGAACACTTTGTGCATGAGGCTAAAATCGAAGGACATGCAAAATGTCTCAAAAGTTTATTTTAGAAAATACATGGAAATCTAAAGCTTGACCTTTTAGAAAATGAAACTAGATGTGTGTATGTTCTATTACATACACATTTTTTTCCGAATGTGAGTTTTTAAGGAATCAAAATATACAAAATAAGTTGTTACTTGAAAAGAAGTATAAATTATACAAACCGAAGGCAGCGAGCTTCTTAGATCATAAATATCTATTGCATATAGAATGGTAGTAATTGCAGTAGGTGTTAATAGAAAAGATACGAAAGCATATTGACTGAGTGAGCACAGATCTCAGATCACAATCGTCAGATCTCCAGTCATCTCGGCTTACAAGTAATTGGAGATTCTGTAGTTAAAACAGTTGTCTTCTGATTTGCTAGTGCTTGACTGAACTTTCTGGCTTTTGTGTATTTAACATATGGCGTAAAACCTCGTGGCTCATCTGTAAATTATAATCATCCTTGACCTTTTTGTTTGTTTCCTTGAGCTGGTCAGTTTTTTGTTGTAGTTGATTCACGAAAATTGTAGGTTGAATCTAGTACTAGGGAAAGTCCTTGAGTCAGTATGGTTATATAATTCATCTCGCTGACATTAATTTACCAAGTATTTAAGAAAATGGGCATCTTTTACACCAACACATTTTGCAGGCACCCTAAGGACCAAGACTGTACCTGCCCACCAGCTTCCCGCCTTCTTTTGTAGCTGAATGATCTTTGTAGATGCTTGATAGTAACCAGGAAAGTATACTGTCAAATATTCTCAGTTAAATATTCACTTAGAAGCACTGATAGACTTCTATCTGCAGCTTCACAAATGTTCACCCTTTAGTATTAGAGCCACTACTAATCATAATGAATATGCTAAAATTACAGCCGTAGCGGCTATTATTTTTGAATTCTTAATATATTCCAAGCACATAAATCATATCACCTAATCCACCCAACAGTGACGTGAGTGTGTATTATTATGGCCACAACTTTACAAATGAGACCATTGAGGACAAAGGGATTTAATGCTAAAGGTAACACAGCTTGTAGGTGTTGGAAAGAAGATAATTAGGAAACAATTGAACGACAAGCAAAATAACTATTTCCCAGCTAACCGTGCTCCATAATCCAGCCCTTCCCATGCTCTGACCACCTTTGGAAGGCAAGTTGGGCAAAGTCCCTACGAGGTCAAATTACGAAGTCACATTTCCAGAAATGACAGGTCACAGATGCTTCTCTCCCTGGTCGAGAGCGGAAAAGTCTAAGTTGCTTTCAGCCCTCTGAGCAAGTGACCCCCAGCCCCCGGAAGGCAAGAGAGCTGAGTTTGCACCCAAGCCCAGCATAAGGGGTTTCATCTACCATCTTGGTCACTCCAGGCACCCCAAGGTCTTCATCTGACCAGGTGTGTGCCCAATTTTGTCTTAAGCAGGCGGTTCAGTTGATGAGAGAGGGTTAGGCTCACGAAGGCTGAGGTCATGAGCTTGAATCCCTTTAATGGCAAAATTGTGCCCCATGCCCTCCCCTGGCTGTCTTTCAAAGAGCTGCAGGTGGGCGTTAAGGACGATAGAAGAAAATTTGGACAAAACCATGCAGATGCACAGTTTTCACTGGGGCAAACAGAAGGTGACCTTGCAGAGCCCTCTCAGGAGGCAGGACGAACTCGTGTGTTCCCAGTGCAGACGAGGGAAAGAAGCAGGGTGAGCCAGTGTGTGGGATCCTCCCGGGTTGTGAGCACGTGATCGTGATTCCAGGAAACCCGTCACACCTGTGGAGGCTCTGGGAGCTGGGATGATACTTTGACTATGTTATCTCTCAACAGACAGCAAATAAAGGATAAGCCGCTCCCATTCTAAAACTCTGAAAGACAAATTCATCTTTTAGGGCTTTTATTCCCAGCAAAGTTGACATAGGAGGCGTGGAAAACTAATTTCCCCGTAAAAGTCACTTAGATAGTTACAGAAACAGAACTAAAATCTGAAATCCAGTTGTACTAAAGGAATCAACCTCAAAACGTGATTTTCAGAGGACTTCTTTTGTTTAAGTTGTTTTGATGCAGAACAGTTGATACCTATGGAGAATCCGCTAGCAGGTAACTTCAGGATTACCAGACCCCTCAGAGGAGAGACTTTGGTTTAAAGCAAATCAACAGATGTGAGCTTTTACACATCAGGCCAAAAGGAAGTTTATTTATTTACTTTTTTGCTTTGTGAGGAAAGTATTGTCCTACTCCAGCCCCAGAAGTGCACCTGAGGAATTTCCTACCCCACGTTGTTGTGAGATGCACTTTGTTAGTTTTTGTTTGTTGTTGTGTTTGTCTTTATGTGTTTTTCTTTATACTTTAAGGATTGTTGCTTTTCATTACAAGTTACCTGACAAGTGTATTCTGGTATTTTCCTATAAATTCACTCTTGAAAGTATGCAAATATGGGAAAATAGTAGGCACCTGGCCATGGGTCCGGATCTCAGCCCCCCCACTGGCTGGTTGTGTGAACTTGAGCAAGCCCTTGGCTCTTTAGAACCCTGGTTTCCCGCCTGTAACAGGGAGTTGAAAGTACTTTTCTTGTAGTTGTTGTGAGGATTAAATGAAAAGAATAACTGAACACCATGCCAGGAACATACCAGTTCATTGTCTTAGCATGTCACAGGGTCATCCAGTCATTGGGACATCAGATCGTCCTTGTTTTAAAGATGAGGACCCAGGACTCGGGAGACATCGGCCTGCCCGAGGCCATACAGGCAGGTGGTGCTGGGCCAACCACACGACCCCAGTCTCTGGACCTCAGACCCGGGAGGTCTCCCTCCACGCCGTGCGCGGACCCTCCCATCCCCAAGGCAGTTGGCGAGCATAGGAAGTGTAACGTGGGTGATGGTGAACTGGGCTGAGTCCTCTTTACACTTGGACTGTGACCTTCCACAGCGGGCGTGGTCACCACTTACTCTGAATGAAAAACGGGCCGCACCTTATCTAGGTGGAAGCTCCCATGTCTCCTCTGCCATTGCTGACTCTACCGTAGTAACAGGGAAGGGAGAAGCAGCCATCCTTCACCGCATACCTGTTGGGTGGCACCTGCTTTCCTGTGAGGGTGAGGCTCAGAAAGGGTGAGGAACCCATCGGAGTTGGCACAGAGACACACGCCAGGCCCAGAATCAAACGAGGTCCCTAACGCAGGGCTCTTTGGGTTATGTCAGTGGCAAAAGCACAAAACAGAGCACCGGACCACCCCGGAAAACAAAAACACACAAGCACAGAAAAAGTAGGCAGCCTGTTACAAAGCTCGGGGGAAGGGGCGCCCCGTCGCAGATATGTCTGCTCAAAAGCGAACTCAACTTCTCTCTTTATGACAATGACAGTGATGGCAGAGGGGGGTGGGCGCGTGGGAAGTTGGTCTGCAGGTTTGCAGAGCACCCCTGGAAACCCCACGGGCGACACACGAAGGCACCTCTACCAGCAGGGCTCCTCTCTTTCTGAAGAATAATTAATAAATATTTTCTTTTAGCATATAACCAACAGTTGAACCAAACAATTATGTAAACTGGAAATGACCCAAAACGCTCGCCTTGGCAGCAGCTCGGTGACACGCATCGTCGGGCACACGTGCATTGCTGTCACCCCCGCCTCTCTGGTGATCTGCACTTAATAGGAATATTTTAAACTATGTAGCTAAGCAACAGAGGTAATTGTTGCTTTCTAGAGCTTTTGTTAGCACTCTCACACAGCCCAAATATGCATAATTAGGTATAATGTCTATAAATCATTATTGTACACATGTGTGTAGTTAAGTAGAGTTGAGAGAATAGTTCAATGAATTGAGCATATTCACTGAAAATGCTTTTTATTTGTTTTCTGTAGTTCATAATATTCTAAAATTATCATAACCCTTTACACTTTCTCTTAACAGCCAACTGTGATATTGAGAAAAACTTCATTTGCATTTTAGACTATGTTTAATATATTATTTAAACCTGGAGTTCCTCTGATATGAATTCAGGAGAGGATACACCACAATTCAAATATTATGTGCTGGTTTCGCCAGCCTCTTTTCTAGGAAGTAAAATGTTAAATTTTTCAGTTTATGTTGAATAGATCCCAACAAAAGACTGCACTCTATAATCAGCATTATTTAAAGGGGCTAGTGTTGTGACTGAATTCTTCCCTTCATCCAAAAATGCTTTTAGTTACTATGGCAATATTTACTTGATCCGGGCAGTCCAGTGTTGATTTAGGGAGATAATTACCAGAAAGGAAGATGATGGAGATGCATTTTTGAGTGTCCTTGTCAGACACAATGTTTATAAAAAATTAAACGAGACCCAAAAAAGGCACATTGTCTTCTGCACAGACACCCTCTCCCGCAGCCCTTACACAGGACGGCTGTGCTTTTCTTTCCTCCCAAGATGTTTATTAAGGCAGAGTGCACTTCACCTGGTGTCTTTAACAGTCTTTAAGGGGGCTTATTATTTTGTGTTCCCATCCGCCACCCTGCCTTTAGAGACACAGAAATAGTCCTGCTTCTTCTTCTTTCTGTTTTGTCTCAGTGACTGCCAGGGACCACTGCCTGGTTATCTGGTGCATTTCACAGCCTGGCGATCTCTGGGCGCCGAGCTCCCTGGACCCCGCCATGTGCGCGGCCAGGGCTGGGGCACTGGCGAACCTGCACCTCAGGTGGTGTGTTTGCACCGGGACAGGCTTGGGGAGGGTGACTGTACATATAAATATATACACACACACAATCTGTCACCCCGACTGGGCCACTGCCAAGAGGGAAGGGGGTGACACGGACAGCTGCTCTAGGACAGTGGACACCCATGGACAGACTGGCGCTTGGGGGGTGGGCGCTCTTCTCAGACCCAGGCCTTCTTTACCATCAGGACTGAGAACAACTGGTTAACATTCAGCATCCTCCAACCGTCCCCACTCCTGACTCATCTCCTTTTTACACAAGTGCGTGCACGTACCAGGACAGAAACTGAGCTACTATTCAAGATATTATTCCATCATGTTCATTCTCCCACTTACTTGTGTTTCCCTCGTCATGGCATTTTCGTGTGACAGTTATGACAGTGATGAGGGAGTCTCGAGAACCTCAGGCTTCTTTTAGTTATCGTCTCGTGTAGATGTGTTGTGTATTTCAGCTAACATTCCATAAAATCTGAAAGTATGTTTGGGACTCTACGGAGGCAGAGAAAATCAACCTAATAAGCTTTGAAAATATATTGCCACGCTAGCAGAGAAATTCGATGAATACTTCCTTTTTATAATGTATAGTAGGACATATGCTTAATTTTCTTCCAGTTGACTGAGATTTGCAAATATAAGAGGTACAGTAACACGAATTTCACATTGAGGACTCTGTGATGGTTGAGTATTTATTTCAGTAACTAGACGAGCTTAGCTCTGACATGCTGAAAATTAGAATAGCTCGTCTCTTTAAAGGCAATTCTCAGAATATTAAGGTCTGAGTTTTGTTTTGTTTTGTCAAGAGGGTATGTATTTTTCTACCCAGTGTTTATATAATTGATGGAGTCCACATAGTCACACATTGCATGTATTATATATGTATATGTCTATCTATTTATCTATCACTGTAATTTCCTTAAAATACTTTTTGTTCTTATTTTTCAAATATTGGCCTTTTTTCCCTAGAAGAAATCATGATAAAACCCATGGAGGAGAAGCTTCATTCAACTGCACAAGAAAATTCCGATGGGAAGGAAGACAGATACGGCCGTTATCAAGAGCTCATGGTCAAATCGCTAATGCATTTGGGGAAATTTGAAAAAAATGCATCTGTTCAGACCATAAGTGAGAACTTAGATGACAGTGGCATCCAGTCTCTAAAAGCAGAGGGGGATGAAGTGGATGAGTGCTTTATGGTTCATTCCGACGATGGAAAAGGCAAAATCGACGATCCCCAGCTGCGGTTCCGCTCCTCCGATGACACCGAAAGTAACTCTCAAAGTGCAGAGAATGGCTGGGACAGCGACTCCAACTTCTCAGAAGAAACCAAACCTCAGAGCGTCCCAAAGTACGTTCTCGCGGATGATAGGAAAGACCTATTGGAAGTTCCTGAAATAAAAACTGAAGGTGACAAGTTTATCTCTTGCGAAAGCACATGTGATTCGGAAACAGAAAGGAGAGACCCACAGCACACTCTCGTGGACCCATCGGATGGCCAAGCCCAGCCCTCGTTCCCTGGGAGTAAGGAGGATGATCACAGGCACGGGTGTCCGGCCGCGGGGGTGGACGAAGCCGCTGCCCTGGAGAAAGCCAAGGGGAACTTGAGTTTGCTGGAGCAGGCGATCGCCCTGCAGGCTGAGCGAGGCTGTGTTTTCCACAGCACCTACAAGGAGCTGGACAGGTTTCTTCTGGAGCATCTCTCGGGGGAGAGGAAGCAAAACAAAGTCATTGACGTGGGCGGAAGACAAGTCTTTACCAGTAAACGTAAGACACCGATTCGCTTCTATTTTATTTAAAATTGCTTTAGAGGTGAGGGGGGGGGAATGAGTAAGATTTGATCGCTTCTCCCAGATAGCTTTTTGACAGCACAATTTAAGAACCTAATTTATATTTTAAAATTAACAATTTTTTTTCCTACTCAATAGATTGTTCTCAGATTAAAGCTTGGTCGGTTTGTAGCATTTTAACTCACGCAAAATAAAGACCTGTATTTCTTCTAATAGGACTGCTTTTAAAAAATATATCGTACTTGTTAAAAAGTACTATATTGGGTATGTTAGAAGTACATTTGTATTTACTGGATTTTAAATCATTTTATGGATCAAATCATTTCCAGAAATTTAATTTTTCTTTCCCGCCCTCTTTCTGGGATCATCTGACTGCTTTTTTTTTTTTTTTTTTTGTGGTATGCGGGCCTCTCACCGTTGTGGCCTCTCCCGTTGCGGAGCACAGGCTCCGGACGCGCAGGCTCAGCAGCCATGGCTCACGGGCCCAGCCGCTCTGCGGCATGTGGGATCTTCCCGGACCAGGGCACGAACCCGTGTCCCCTGCATCGGCAGGCGGACTCCCAACCGCTGCGCCACCAGGGAAGCCCCATCTGACTGCTTTTGAGCTTCAAAATAGTGTCAAGCTACCTGGAAGCCAGGCAGGATGCTCCGATCCTTCTTAGGACAAGACTGGATGCTAATGCCTTTATAAGCCTGTGCTTTTACAAACTCTAACTGAGGGTCCACAAACATCTGGACCAAACTTGAATGAGACAGTCAATGTGCTCGGAGGAGACCTTAAAACTGATCCTCAGACTTTGGGAAAACTGTGTTCTGTTCCATTTGCCTATAAAGATGCCCCCCGCCCCTGGGCCTTGCACCAGGTGGGCCTGGTGATGAGGCCTCCAGTTACGTGGAGTTTCTCAAGGGGTGGTCTTTGGCTTGTTAAGATGAGTATTTCCAGGATCCCATCAGACTTACTGCTTCAGAACTTGCTTTCTTTTTTAATTTTTTAATTTAATTTTTATTTTATATTAGAGTAGATTGATTTACAATGTAGTGTTAGTTTCAGGCATACAGCAAAGTGGTTCAGTTATACATATACCCATATCCATTCTTTTCCAAATTCTCTTCCCATATAGGTTATTACAGAATATTGAGTAGAGTTCCCTGTGCTGTACAGCAGGACCTTGTTGTTTATCTATTTCATATATGGTAGTGTGTACATGTTAATCCCAAACTCCTAATTTATCCCTCCCCCCCCTTTCCCCTTTGGTAACTGTAAGTTTGTTTTTGAAGTCTGCAAGCCTGTTTCAGTTTTGTAAATAAGTTCATTTGTATCATTTTTTTAGATCCCACATAGAAGTGATATCATATGGTATTTGTCTTTCTCTGTCTGACTTACTTTACCTAGTATGATAATCTCCAGGTCCATCCATCTTGCTACAAATGGCATTATTTCATCCTTTTTATGGCTGAGTAATATTCCACTGTATATATGTACCACATCTTCTTTATCCATTCCTCTGTCGATGGACATTTAAGTTACTTCCATGTCTTGGCTATTGTGAATAGTGCTGAAATGAACATTGGGGTGCATGTATCTTTTCGAATTATGGTTTTCTCCAGATATGTCTGGAGTGGGATTGCTGGATCACATGGTAGCCCTATTTTTAGTTTTTTAAGGAACTTGCAATACTGTTCTCCATAGTGACTGCACCTGTTTACATTCCCACCCACAGTGTAGGAGGGTTCCCTTTTCTCCGCACCTTCTCCAGTGTTTATTGTTTGTAGATTTTTTGATGATGGCCACTCTGACTGGTGTGAGGTGATACCTCATTGTAGTTTTGATTTGCATTTCTCAAATAATTAGCAATGTTGAGCATCTTTTCATGTGCATAACTTGCTTTTTTTTAAAAGCAAGCTCCTGAGGTGATTCTTGGGCACCCTAAAATCTGAGAACCACAGAATTCGGAGAGGAGTATCTTAGAGATAATCAAGGTCATGAACCTAAAGCGCTGACAAGAATAATGCACTAGTGTGGTTAGATGTCCTGACTGCTGAAATTTATCCAGAAACCCATTGTATATTTTAAGTCCATTTTAGTACTCACCTACAAGTAGTCTTGTCAAATACTGTCTTGCAGCTCAGAGTTGAGAAAAAAAGAATAAAATAATGTCATTTAGTGAGGAGTAAGATAATAGTTCTGTGCAAACATACTGTAAGGGCTGGGATGGAGACAGAATATTAAGGATAGTATGTGGTCTGGGGCAGGAGGGTGTGGTAGCAGCTCTCAGCGCTCCACTCACACCCAACTTGTGGAACTTACCTGTGTGGGTTTTTTTTTTTTTAATGAACTACAAAATCAGAAAAATAAAAGATGAAATTTACTTCAAATTCCAAAACCCCATCATTTCCAATATACTATATTTCATCCATTCTAAGATGCACAGCTTTCCCATCTTAGCATCTCTGTGAAATTAGAAACACATGCCATTATTGAGTTTTCAATGGTTTTTCCTTCCTCACTGGCACACAAAATGATGTTTCATCTTGCAACTGACAGTACCTTCAGCCAATGAAATCCAGTCTTTGGAGACACTAATTATTTGTGCCATGGCTTAAAACACTTGACGATACTTTGGTCATTTTTATAGAACTTTTTAAAGGTTTTTTTGTTTACAAAAATTAACAAGGCAATAGAATGTGCACGGTGGAGACTTAGAGAATCGCTAATGGGACTGGATGAGTCCACAGTGTAGCCTGTGTGTAGGGTGAGGTCCTGCATTGGGATGTAAAGTCCACGCAGGGAGCTCCAGACTAGACCAGGAAGAAACAGGCAAAACAGTGACCGACTGCAGGGGCCTCCAGGCTTCATCCAGAGGCTGCCCAGGTTCACGGTCCTGCTCCCGTCCCTGGTGTGGGAGCGTAAGAGGAGCTTTTTTCTCCTGTGAGTATTCCATGCTCCTAAGTAAGCACTAATCCCTGTGCACCTTGGGCATGTGACTTTGCTCTCAGGGACAGAACACTAGGATTTCAAAATACCGTTTCACCCAAGCCTTCCGATGAGTCGGCAGTTCTAACAATACCAAGTTTTGCTATCCTGTTGCCACCCAGCAATAGGGAGACTTTGGGTCCCCCTAGTCTAACTAGAGTCGCCATATAATTTATCCTACAGCCTACGACACTTTCGGGGTGAAGGGGAGCCATGGGAACAATCCCACGAGTCCACCAGGTATGAACAGGACAGTCCCAGGCAAACCGGGACGTCAGGTCACCAGAGTATAAGGTCATTTTCATGAAGCAGCATCCAGCAAAGAAAATTAAAGAGGAAGAGCCAGGCCGGGGAGCTCCCCCAGAGCTGCAGTTCCAGCTCGTGTCAGGCACAGGCGCCGGCCCCGGAGAGCACCGTGGGGCATCTTTGCTCCCCGCAGAGGAGGGGCTGGCAGACACAGTGCAGGACGGACAGTCAGCAACCCACACCTGGTCAGGTGCCAGCCTGGCCTTATCTCCCACACCCTCCCTGGCTTCCCGCAGACAGTGTGGCCAAAGCTCTGAGTGTGGTTTAGAAATGCGGCCTCACCTGGACCAGATCCAAGGGAGGAAGCCCATCAAAATTCACATCACCTCTCCTTCTTCCCGATTCTTTCCAAGTCGCTCTCACAGGGTGTCAGCACCCAGCCCCTACCAATTCCATGTTAATCAAACATCGGGGATTTTTTTTCCCCAATTGAATAGAAATTTATTTTTTCACACATCAAGTTCCCATATATCATAAGAAGTAGTTCTGGTCAAAATTCTATTCAAATGATCTGTATTTCTTGCTCTATTCTTTTTTTAAATTAATTTGTGTTGGAGTATGGCTGCTTTACAACGTTGTTAGTTTCTGCCGTGCCGCAAAGGGAAACACTGGGGACTTTTACTAGCATTCTACACACATTAGTGCCCAAACGGACTGGAAATTTGGCAGCCTTTTCGGACTAAGTAAAAATTACCCCCGCAAAATCATACAGCATGTCAAAACCCTTCGTATGCACCTTTGTCTCGTACAGCAAAGAGTGTAGTCTTCACCTCGTGGCGTTAAATCCCGTCTCAGGAAACACACACGCCCGCTACTCGGGTCCTTCCCTTCCCGCCCAAGACACGCGTCCTCTCCCTGCTGACCCCGCCCTCCCTGGCTGCGCGCTAACGGGGAGGGTCCTTGGCCCTTCCCCCTTGGCTGGAACCACGTCCCCAGATAATTGCCCCGCGTACCACCTGCGGTACCCACCTGCCCAGTCCGACGGCCGGGGTGGCGTGGCAACACGGGGGCACGTCTGCCCCCCGCAGAATTCCGCCCTGGGGACGTCCGTCGCCTCCGGCAGCGCTGCCCTGCTCTCCGTGCCACGTTTGGAGCCAGAGCACACGGGCCCTCGGCGTCCTCGCAGCCAGGACCCTGCCCCGTACCCATCGCCGGCAGCTTTCTTGCGGCAGGATGGTACAGACTATTTATTTTCCCTCTCAGCGTCGTGTGTTCGCGATTCCTGATACTTCGCGTTGGGAGAAGCCTGCAGCCTGCCAGCCTCCATCCCACGCTGGTCCTCTCTCTGAGGCCGCCTTGCCCGCTCTGGTCCCGGTTCCTCTAGATGCCCTGAATGTGAGGGGCAGGCTGGCCCCGATGCCTGACGTTGTCACTCCACGCACGAGTTAGGGGGGCAGTTTCGGCTCTGAGAATGCATTTCTGTTTTAAGCTTATCTACCCTCTCAGTCACGAATATGAGAATATTCACGTTAGTCCTCATTTATTTTATGTATTTATATAACCCTCTATCTAAGCCAGCAGTGTGTGTGCCAGAAAACTAAGACCCTGAGCTGTGCTCAGCCGCCCCCCTGGGCAGCCCGGCAGCATGGGTTGCAAGGTGTCCCTTTCCCCTGCCGCGGCACCTGGTCCTCCGCCCGCAGCCCGTGTTCCTGGCAGCGCCCGGCAGACCCCTCAAGGCGGTCCCCACCCTGTGTGCTGCCAAGCCTCTTCCTGCTGCCTCTGTCTTCCACTTCCGCACCAGGAGTGAAACCAATAGCTTCTCCTCTGCAGCTACTGCGCGTTGATCCAGAGCTTCAAACCGCGGGGCTCTGGGCGTCTTGGGCCCTCACAGCACTGCCCCCTGGCCGGGCGTGGCGCGAGATGTCACTCTTATTGGAGCAGCCTCCCCACGTGTCTAGGAACAGCTGCTCAACCCCAGAACTCCGGGGCCACTGGACCTGCCGCCAGGACCCACTGGACCGCCCAGATGGGCCCTCCTCAGATACGGCGGCTCCTTCATCGTGTGACTTTTGAATCTGGCCTTTTACAGATCCCTTCAATAGGAGATAGTTTGGGTTTAAATAAATGCTTTCCTTTTTCCTTCTCTTTTTTTTTTCCTTTTCCTTTTCCAGAGCCTATTCCTCCTCTGGTGTAGGGTTGACATTTCATAATAGGCTCTAACTATGATCTGTGACATGACAACTTAAAACCGTCACTGTGTTTCAACACTCGCTTGCCCTGTGTCAGCCTCTGCTTAAGGAACCAAGAAAATTGAAAACATTCTTTCTGCTTCCGCAGGTCTTAGTTGAGGGTCTTATTCAAGGCGATGTGAGAAGAATGTTTATCATCAGAAGGGTGAACAGAGTGAGGAGGTCGTGTGCAAGGCCACTTTGCTGAAGGGGAGGGAAGAGGAATAACCAGATGTCTCTCTCGATTTAATTCCTCCGTAGATTCACCGAGGCCTGAAAAGAGGGAGACCAAGTGCCCCATCCCCGGGTGCGACGGCACAGGGCACGTGACAGGGCTGTACCCTCACCACCGCAGCCTTTCAGGGTGCCCTCACAAAGTGCGGGTTCCCCTGGAGAGTGAGTACCGCCGGCCCTGAAAGAAGTCCACCAAGTTACCCACTTCCTCCTCCAGTTTGGAGTCAGAAACGGAAATACCAAGTTTTCTCTCTCTGTGTCAAGACAATTTCCATCTAGCTGGGTGTTTAAAACAGAGCATATTAATGGAAAACTTGGGGTACAGTGAGGCCAGTAGATCAGGAGATACTGACATTGAAAACCTAATTTGCTACTCAGAGTTCCCAAGAGGAGGGGGCACCTCAGGCCAGGCAGGGCCCCCCGGGGGAAGCACCAGGACCCGCGGCGGGGAGGGATGAGTTGTTGTAAGCAAGAGCCTTTTTGAGCTTTCATGGGAGGGAGCGGAGTGAACTGGCCTCAGATTGGCCAGCTGGAATTTCTGGTGGGCTCTGGGCCTCTGGCGCTGTTTGTGGTTGTCTGGGACCTGGCCCTGGGGGTTAGGGCGGGTGGAGAGTGTCCTGAAGTGTGAGAGTCAGAGAGAGGAGAAGGTCGGGTGTGGGCTCCAATTGGTTGGTTTGCATCTGAAAAGTGTTTATTCTCTCAAAGGATTAGGGAGCGTGGTGGATGATGTAACTGAATTCCTTTGAATGCAAAGTTGAGACAGTTTGTCGGTGTGTGATGTATTGATGATAAATTGCTCTATTCTTTTATGTGCTATTTCGTGCTTAGTTCTTGCCATGCATGAAAATGTGCTCAAGTGCCCCACCCCGGGATGCACAGGACGAGGGCATGTGAACAGCAACCGCAACACGCACAGGAGGTAATTGGGATGAGACTCGAGAGAAACTTTCCACCAAGGAAACAAGGAACTTGCCATGTGTTATCAAAATTGCTGGATCAGCATCAAATATGTTAGCACTTGACATAGGTGACAAATATTCTCAATGCGCGCAGAGTAAAAAATAAAAAATACCTCATTATTTACTCCCCTATAAATTTTCACTGAGCAGCCAAGTATGCCAACAAAAAAATGTCATATTTGAAGACCAGGGGTAGATACTTATATAGCGATACACAGAGAGCCTGGTCTCTGCTCTGAACCTCCCCCACCCCAGAGCTGTTTGACCTTGGAAAGAGTGGCTTAGGGGTTATCTTGAATCCCATCCAATGCACATTAAAACGGTACCCAAGAGCTTCAGATTACTGAAGGTAAACGTCATTTCATTTCATTGAGATTTATTTCACTGAGATCGCAACTAACTTAAAACCACATATGTGCATTTATATACAAATATATTGCATATATATAAATACTTTTGGTGAAAATGCTTATCGTTTATGTGTTTCATGTATAGATTATGTGGTCATGAGATACTAGTTGACTTATAAGCATGTTGCCAGGAAACTTACATTCTGTGCTCTCCATTTAAACTGAGATATAAAATTAAGTCCCTAACATTTTGCAAAAGACCCTAAGCTATCATAGAATTATCGTGCTAACATCCATAGTTGGACAATTGCAGTTGGATGAGCGCATTCTACTTAAAATACCATGAGGTTTCAATAATTTAGTTATTCCTCCCTTACATAATATTTTGATCTTAAAAATGACTCTTTTTTTTATCACCTCTGAGATGAGGTTTGGGGACAAACGTTGACACAGTAGTTTGCAAAACCCTTTGGGATCTTTTAGGCTGAGAATGGTGCTAAGTGAACTATTAATACAACTTAACATTTGGTGCTTGCCAAGGATGCTGTGAGGTAGGTGCCAGAGCAAATTACATTATCTTTTTAACTCAGATCCGCCTACTTTTTTTTTTAAACAGTCTTTCTGGTTGTCCAATTGCTGCAGCTGAAAAATTGGCAATGTCCCAGGACAAAAGTCAGCTTGATTCTGCCAAAACCGGGCAGTGTCCTGAGCAGGGTCACAGGTATGATGCTCCCCTGGGGTTCCCGTTACTCCCTGCATGCCGAGCGCCTACACAGAGGGTCCCTCTCCTCCCAGGTGCCAGCTCACCATGGGCCACCTTCGTTCCAACGCACAGCCACCAGGGTCCACTTGAGAGGCTGGGCCAGCTAATCGTGCTGTCACTGAAATGAACTGCTAGACCCTCCAGAAGTTTAACTTGAAATTAATCTGCACGCAGAGGTCACATAGTATGGATGAATCTAAAAAATGTGAAGTCTACGATAACATAGATTAATCAAATTCTGTGTCGCTAAGCACAAGCCCGCCCACTACTGAGGTAGGGGCCCCCTTATGGTTGACGTAACTTTTCCACCTCATAATCCCTCATCACTCAAAATATGTGATGCTATATGGTCGTCCCACTCTTCCAGATATGCGCACAGTCTCTTGGAAACAAAAATTCATTACAAATTGATAACTATGGATAAAATACCTCCTGTCGGTCCTAGGTCCTTCACAGTCTCTAGTAGTTTGGAGGACCTTACCTACACCTAAATAATAAACTATGGATGAGGACACAGTATGAGGTGACGCACTTATTAATACAAAAGTCATATACATAAGAAAAGTGATTTGGGGATTACAACAGATGACCAGGTCCTCATTGTTGTTACCGAGACACTGGAATGAAAAACAGTTATTAGGAACATTTTCAAGATATGGTGTCCCTTAATATTTGCTTCTGTAGGTTTAATTAAAAGACTCAAATTGTCATGACTTTGCCGCGAGTCAAAATCACGTGAGTGAGGAATATAAATCAAGCAAATATCATGAATTACTGAATAACGGGTTAAAAATCTTATAACAAGATTCTTGGTTAGGATTACAGTACTGTATTCTCTAGTTTCTCCCTAAGTAGGTTAGTTATCAAACATAGAAATAGCATTAAGTTTCATTGTGCTCATTTCTTAGAAGTATTAGTTTAGACTAGAACACTGTTGCAATATTAGGGGTATAAACCAAGTTATATACCATAACAAATTCAACTAATCGCTCAAGTATTTTGATGTAGCAGCTAAAAAGTTTTTTTACCTAATCCAAGAAACATCATCAAAACGTTGACATTCTGATGAGTAAGGTATGTTCTGGTGAAAAACAAAAGAAAAATATGTATTTTTGATATTGCTAAATTCTGAAAGTATATTTATTGGTGTCCTTTTAGCAATAGACCACAGCACGACAGCATTTGTGTTTTCCTTGGCGGGCATTGGTGCTATACAAATATGATACCCTTGTTTAATCCACACAGTAATTCTAAAGGAATGTTTAAGTCACATTTAGCTTGGATTAAGATAATTCTATTGAAAAATGTGATAGCTGTTATACTACAGTAATTTTTATTCATATTGAAACAATGGCAATTTAATAGATAAAATTTTGAAATACTATTTAAAATATTACTTAAAGCAGCAAAAGCATTCAGTCCAAAGGTGGGGAAAAAGCTGAGAAGCCTAAGAAGAAACTCACAGCTCAGGAATCCAGTTTCCGGTGCCGACACTGCCCCTGTTAGGCGTCAGGGCCCTGCCAGCTGTGCTGAACAGAATATAATGACATTATATTGTCATCAGAATATAATGACATTTCCTCACTAGTTCCAGTCGTGACTTTTCACTGCTACTCTGATGAGCAGTCCTGAGCAGCAGGAAGTACACACCTTATCAGTGCCCTGATGACAGTTCCATGGCACTTTCTCTCTTACTGATGGGAGACTCGGACACACAACGTGCAGCCCCCCTGAGGCCACCCAGCGCCCGAAGTGCCCCCTTCTCCCTCACTCCACCCCATCCTGTGTGACCACAGCTCTATTCCCTAGTGCGGGGCTCAGTAGGAAACTCCAGGTGTGACACACCTGAGCTGCTTTAACTTCTGATGCTGGGATGCTCACCAACGGTGTCGTCCTATTTCTTTTGAGCTCTGCCCCTCTCTCTTCAGGACAAGCTTGGTGAAGCAAATCGAATTCAATTTCCGATCACAAGCCATCATCTCTCCCAGAGCTACGGTGTCAAAAGAGCAAGAGAAATTTGGAAAAGTACCTTTCGATTATGCCAGTTTCGATGCCCAGGTTTTTGGTAAACATCCCCTCGTACAAACAGGTCAAGGCCGAAAAACACCACCATTTCCTGAATGTAAGCTTCAAATTCTAATACTTATTCCAAAAAAAAATGCATCTTGTGTATGTGCATGTTGGGTGAGGGACATGTATTTAAATATGTAATATACTATTTACTGCTGGGAGGAGAGAAAATATATTGTACGGTGAAATAAAATAAGGATAACAATAATAAGTTAATCAGTACTACTGGTCTTGCATGAAGTGACACTGAGTATGGTAAATAGTGGATTAATTATTCTACAAATATGGTGCCATTTTTAAATCTAAATACAGTAATTCTGAAGAAATATAGGTAAAAATATGGAAATACTACTTACATCAGCAAAAGTGTTCAAACTGAAGGTGAGAGAAAAAGTGAAAAGTCCAAGAAGGAACTCAATTCAGAAATCAAGGTTTTACTAGGAAAGGAAAAAAAAAACACGTGTGGCTTTGGAGATGTTCATCCACAGATTTAAGAATTAGTGCAGAAACATTTAAAATGTGTCAGTTCTCTAATGCTAACACAAAGACACTGTAACACGTAAAACTTGGTGTTTTTACTAACAGTTTCTTCAAGTTGTTTAGAGTCCTTGAATATTTTAATGAAAAGTTTAGAAAGTAAATATTGGGAATAAACCCAGGAATGATTTCTGCCAAGCAAAATAATCCCCCAGTTGGAGTCCTCCATAGACCGTGAATTTTTTACAACGTTGTGCAAATCCCTGGAATCCCTTTGATCTCACGCGTAGTTAACCCAGACGTAGTACTCTTAGGAGCACGGGATGCTTCTCCCTTCTGTGCCGTGGTCACCTTCCGTAAAGAACGTGAATGTCGTATAAAACCTAACAGTGTATAAACAGACTTGAAAGGAGTTTGTCCACCAACAAGAAGTACATTAAACTCCAGAAGATAGTTTACCTGCTCGTACTAAAAATAGGGTACAGCCAACAAAAGTAACCACTGACAGCCTGTTAGATTCAGGAAAGAAAGGTATACACACAAATATACACACACAATGTTTTGTATCTGTCTGTATAAACTTAGATGTAGATATAGTTCTAGGACATATACACAAAATATACACACATACATATATGTTGAATTCAGGTGAAACTAATTAATGAGTGTTCTATATGCTCATGTACTATGGATTTTAGTTTAAAAATGTAGCACATTCAGTGACATTTTCATATTTTTATAACTACAGGAATAACATTTGGTAATGTTTTAAATTATTTCGTGAAAAATAATGATCAAATATTTAAAGTAAACACTACTTATGGTGAAACAGCTATAACTGCCTTTATATTAGCCCACATTAAATGCTGGCTGTGTTTCCTGGTCCCTGAGTAATGTTTACAAATACCCAGAGTGGAGAGAAACCCGTTGATTCTCTCAGTAACACCTTGGCATCCACAGCAGAACATAAAGCAGCGCTCATTCTCGGTAGCACTGAGAATGCTACCTTTCCGCCGCAGTGCCTTTCCGTTCCCCTGGAAGCTCTGTGCATCTGTCACTCACTGCCCCGAACCGAGCATGAAGATGCCAGCTCAGGAAAGCCTCCGCCACCAACTCCGTCCCCCTGAGTTGGAGGAAGAAAAACTCATGCTGTTTTAAGCACGAACCAAACCTCCACATCCAATAGCAAAACAATGCAATTCCATGGCTAAGTAAAAACTGTTATGATGAAAACAAATGCGAAAAGTCCGTTTTTCTCACCTGGGATTACTGGGCCGCACACGTACGCCGTTTGTGGTTGTACCGGCCTTATGCCTGTCTAGTCCCTGATGGGTTTTGCAGCTACCCACGCTGCCACGGCACCTGCCCGCTAACATGAGTTCTGGAGTTTTTGTCATAAGACGTGGAAATGCAAAAAAATATTAAGAGAATAGGCATTCTTCCCCCGCAATCACATCATTTGATCTGTGAACTTCTGTGAAAACCGCTCTGAATAACCTTCATTTAACGTACGCAGGGAGAATGGAGCATGTTTTAATTTATTCTTCACGTATTTTCATGCAAGGAAGTTCTATCTTTAAAACAAATCTATCTAATGACTAAATCCACGTCCGAGCAATTGCTAATCAGATCTCTCTTCAACAGCGAAGCATTTTTCCAATCCAGGGAAATTTCCTAACCGGTTGCTGAGTGCGGGCACTCACACACCGAGCCCCGGCCGTGCCAGCTCTCACAGCCACGGTCAGCGCGGCGGAGACACCCACGTAGCGACAGCTGCTGCCATCCTGAACCTCTCCACCCGCTGCAGGGAAGCTGCAGACATCCTCTCCAGCAAACCGCAGAGTCTGCCTGCCAAGGTAGGCCGGCCAAGAGCCCGGAGGGGGGCAGCGACTCGCAGCGAGAATCCACTGCCTGCGTGAACCCGGCCACACTCGCCCCCGCCCCTGCAGCACGGCCCCCCTTGTCTCGGGGAGAGAACCTGGGCAGGGATGAGTGTGGTGGGAGGAAGGACCTTGGAGGGAGACAGTGGCGCTTTTGCAGGTTGTGCACCAGAGCTGGGGCAGGGGTGCGGTATGAAGCCGGTTGGGGGCAGCTCGATAGATTCCAAACCTCTTTTTGTGTTGGGGACTCTGGCACACGAGGAAAGAGATTGCCCCCTAGAATCACGCTGAACAACGGAAGCTTTTCACTGCCTTCGAATCAAAGATGGTAGGACGTGTTCCATTACACAGCCCCCTGTAAAACACTGGCAAAATTCATGAAATTTCACTGTTGTACATGTGACTGTCGTATAGCGTAAGGTGGTCTGAGTTGCTGTAGTTTTCACGAAGGACACATCCTAAAACCTGGATCCGTTAAATCGACAAGACAGGGCCCCGGGGGCGTCTTGAGAACTCAGGGCCCAAATTCAAATCCAAAATCAAATTCTGTGAAGTTTATGGAGACCCCAGCTTTCTGGAGCTCACGAAATTAATCACATTTCTCTAATAACCTCTCCTCGCCGACTAACGCAGAGAAGTAGACATCTGTGTTTATGATGCCTTGAGGAAAACAAAAAGCAAAAAGATCCTTCATGTCTTGCCTTTTGAGGAGGGGGTTGTGATGCTCCAAAGTAACAGGGACCCTCAGAGGGAGCGTGAGCTTCCTGCAGTCAGCAGGGACCTGTAACTCCTGTCCACGCTAAGGGCTGCTAAAAGAAGTTATTTTCCTACCTAGACAGCTGAAGCCAGCTGGAGGAGAGTGCCCAGGCTTCTTTGGAGAAGCGACGTTACCCTTGCTTTCAGTGGAAGATCGCCCAGGTTAAACTCTAACCCGAAACTCGGCGAGCACAGGCTCTAGCTCTCTTTTCCCTTTAAGCTCAGCCCGTCCCCGGCGTGGTCAGCTGCCACCTGTGCTGTGTGCCAGGCCTTCAGGAGAGCAGGGCGCACAGTGCATCGAGCCTTTGACAGAAGAATCAGAATTAGCTTCTGGACAAATCTCAGCCAAGTAAACCCCAGGAAGAGTTGGTGGCCAAAAACCACTCAAAAACAATTTTTAAACAAATGAGGTTCTCAAACAAAGAAAAACACGTTGCCTCAAAAATATAAGGAAAATGCCAAGCTCTCCAAAATCACAGGCAGAAATTATGTACATAAATGAATGATGTAGGGTCCTTTAAAAGGTAACTTTGGTTATTTTTAAATTCATTTTTAAAAACCTGAATACATTTCTTCTTTTTAAAGGGATATTCTAATATACAGCTTGTTGGAGAAATACTAAACGATCTTCCTTCTTGGTGCTTTATTCTTTGTCTAGGCTGTCCTACAAGAATAAAAGTGCCGATATTATAATGGTTAGAGCTGCTTAAATTACTTGAGTAAATGGTTGTAGAGTGAAGGCTTTCCATCTGCAAGGTAGATACTTTTTGTTCCTCAGAATTCTGCCTTTAACCTTTATATTCTCCACGTTCTATTAATTGCTGGAGCCAAACAATGAATCAAACAAGGATGACTAAAATTTGAAGGTATTTTCCCTTATCGATATATGTTCTTCTCTTCTTAAAACACATTTCTGGTCAGAAAAGTGACTGTTAAATCGTCACATTTCGAAAATTCAAACAGCGGACTCGCCGTGTGTATTTGATGCTCCTGCTGGGAGCATTCTGTGAGCCGGGGTTGCTCTGTGGAGCTGATACGCCTGTCCCGGGCGACAGGAGCCCCCTGCACGTCTCAGCTTCCAAACTGCCAACCAAGCCCTAACTGCAAAGCCAAACCACTGATGATAAGGGTGGAAGAGACAGACAGTGCACCAGTCGGCTTTTAGGAAGAGTTTGTGATGCTGGCGGTTTTAGGAACCTTTTTCCCACGAAAATTGTCTTGTTTGACATCGTGGTTGTTAAAATAGGATCACTGTGGCACCCTACACTGTCACCTGGTGCAGAATCCTTCTTCCAGGCCTGCATTTGCACACAACTGTAACAGTTTGCAGAATTCTATCCTGGTTGGATCCTATTTTCTGAATATAAAAGAGAACCTTATAAATTCCTGAAACCACAAAAGGTAATTATTGTAACAAAAAAAAAAAAAAAGAGAGAGAGAGAAAAAGCCAAAGTAATTAACCCTGAAAAATAGGCTCTGATCAAACAGTGCCCAGTGACAGCCATTTCTTTTTTTTTTTTAATAGATCTTTACTGGAGTATAATTGCTTCACAATACCGTGTTAGTTTCTGTTGCACAACAAAGGGAATCAGTCATATGCATACATATATCCCCGTATCCCTTCCCTCTCGAGCTTCCCTCCCACCCTCCCTATCCCACCCCTCTAGGTCATTGCAGAGCTCCGAGCCGATCTCCCTGTGCTTTGCTGCTGCTTCCCACCAGCCAACTGTTTTACATTCGGTAGTGTGTATATGTCAGTGCTACTCTCACTTCGCCCCAGCTTCGCCCTCCCACCCCATGTCCTCAAGGCCATTCTCTATGTCTACCTCTGTATTCCTGCCCTGCAACTAAGTTCATCAGAACCTTTTTTTTTAGATTCCCTATATAGGTGTTAGCATACGGTATTTGCTTTTCTCTTTCTGACTTACTTCACTCTGTATGACAGACTCTAGGTCCATCCACCTCACTACAAATAACTCAATTTCGTTTCTTTTTATGGCTGAGTAATATTCCATTTTATATATGTGCCACATCTTCTTTATCCATTCATCTGTCGATGGACGTTTAGGTTGGTTCCATGTCCTGGCTATTGTAAATAGTGCTGCAGTAAACATTGGGGTGCATGTCTCTTTTTGAATTATGGTTTTCTCAGGGTATATGCCCAGTAGTGGGATTGCTGGGTCATATGGTAGTTCTATTTTTAGTTTTTTAAGGAACCTCCATGCTGTTTTCCAGAGTGGTTGTATCAATTTACATTCCCACCAATGGTGCAGGAGGGTTCCCTTTTCACCACACCCTTTCCAGCATATATTGTTTCTAGCTTTTTTGATAATGGCCATTCAGACCGGCGTGAGGTGATACCTCATTGTAGTTTTGATTTGCATTTCTCTAATAATTAGTGATGTTGAGCATCTTTTCATGTGCCTCTTGGCCATCTGTATGTCTTCCTTGGTGAAATGTCTGTTTAGATCTTCCGCCCATTTTTTAACTGGATTGTTTGTTTTTTTGATATTGAGCTCCATGAGCAGTTTGTATATTTTGGAGATTAATCCTTTGTCTGTTGTTTCATTTGCAAATATTTTCTCCCATTCTGAGGATTGTCTTTTTGTCTTGTTTATGGTTTCCTTTGCTATGCAAAAGCTTTTAAGTTTAATTAAGTCCCATTTGTTTATTTTTGTTTTTATTTCTGTTACTCTAGGAGGTGGGTCCGAAAAGATCTTGCTGTGGTTTATGTCAAAGAGTGTTTTTCCTATGTTTTCCTCTAAAAGTTTTATCAGTGTCTGGTCTTACATTTGAGTCTTTAATCCATTTTGAGTTTATTTTTGTGTATGGTGTTAGGGAGTGTTCTAATTTCATTCTTTTACATGTAGCTGTCCAGTTTCCCCAGAACCACCTTATTAAAGAGGCTGTCTTTTCTCCATTGTATATTCTTGCCTCCTTTATCAAAAATAAGTTGACCATATGTGCGTGGGTTTATCTCTGGGCTTTCTATCTTGTTCTGTTGATCTATATTTCTGTTTTTGTGCCAGTACCATACTGTCTTGATTACTGTAGCTTTGTGGTATAGTTTGGAGTTGGGGAGCCTGATTCCTCCAATTCCATTTTTCTTTCTCAAGATTGCTTTGGCTATTCTGGGTCTTTTGTGTTTCCGTACGAATTGTAAGATCTTTTGTTCTAATTCTGTGAAGAATGCCATTGGTAGTTTGATAGGGATTGCATTGAATCTGTAGATTGCTTTGGGTAGAATAGTCATTTTCACAATATTGATTCTTCCAATCCAAGAACATGGTATATTTCTCCATTTGTTTATGTCATCTTTGATCTCTTTCATCAGTGTTTTATGGTTTTCTGAGTACAAGTCTTTCGCCTCCTTAGGCAGGTTTATTCCTAGGTATATTATTCTCTTTGTTGCAGTGGTAAATGGGAGTGTTTCCTTAATTCCTCTTTCTGATTTTTCACTGTTGGTGTATAGGAATGCCAGAGATTTCTGTGCATTAATTTTGTATCCTGCAATCTTACCAAATTCATTGATTAGTTCTAGTAGTTTTCAGGTGACATCTTTAGGATTTTCTGTGTATAGTATCATGTCATCAGCAAACAGTGACAGTTTTACTTCTTTTCCAATTTGTATTCCTTTTATTTCTTTTTCTTCTCTGACTGCCGTGGCTAGGACTTCCAAAACTATGTTGAATAAGAGTGGTGAGAGTGTACCTCCTTGTCTTGTTCCTGACCCTAGTGGAAATGCTTTCAGTTTTCCACCATTGAGTATGATGCTTGCTGTGGGTGTGTCATACACGGCCTTTATTATGTTGAGGTAGGTTCCCTCTATGCCCATTTTCTGGAGAGTTTTTATCATATGAATCAAAATCATATGAATTTTGTCAGAAGCTTTTTCTGCATCTGTTGAGATGATCATATGGTTTTTATTCCTTAATTTGTTAATGTGGTGTATCACATTGAATGATTTGCATATATTGAAGAATCTTTGCATCCCTGGGATAAATCCCACTTGATCATGGTGTACGATCCTTTTAATGTTCTGTAGGTTTCTGTTTGCTAGTATTTTATTCAGGATTTTTGCATCTCTGTTCATCAGTGCTATTGGTCTATAATTTTCTTTTTTGTGGTATCTTTTTCTGGTTTTGGTATCAGGGTGATGGTGGCTTCGTAGAATGAATTTGGGAGTGTTTCTCCCTCTGCAATCTTTTGCAAGAGTTTGG